GCGGCAGACGAGTGTCCTCCCGCGCGGGTGGCCCGGCGCTGGCGGTGGCCGGCGCGTGGTGGTGTGTCGAGTGGTAGCTCTGGCGGCGGGCGCTGTCAGTACCAGATCCAGACCGGTCCTCGCCGCGGCTTCGTTTGCGGTAAGATCGGTCACTCCACTCCCCGCTGTTTTCGTCGCCTGGACGACCTCTTTCGTCAGCGCTTCGGCCCGTCGCCAGACCTCCCGGACTGGCACAGCATGCTTAGACGTAGTATTCCGATTTTTGACCTGGACATGGATGCCATTGTTTCTGCTCTGCATGTGATGTATGCTGATGACTCTAGTGTGCTTCCAGCTTATTATTCACTGTTGCCTAGTGTAGGTGTGCCTAGTGTCGCCTCCCCTACTGCGTCAGGCGTAGGATCCTCTGCTTTGTGTAGTCTTGGTGCTTCCGCCGTCGTTCCGTCGCCAGACGCCTCTGCTTCGCTTTCCTTTACCTTGGACTCTGGCGCTTCTCGGTGTTTCTTCCGCGACTCCACCACCCTGACGCCGCTTCCTGTTCCTGCTGCCGTTTCTCTTGCTGACCCCTCGGGCGGTCCGGTAGTCGCCCGCGGTTCCACCACCCTTCCCTGTCCGGCGGTTCCTTCAGGCTCTCTTACAGGTCTGCATATCCCCTCGTTCTCCAGGAACCTAGTTGGTGTCGGCTGCCTCCAGGACCTTGGCGTCACCACTACGTTCCCTGGTCACGAGCGGTATGCTGTCTGTACCGAGGCCGCCACTGGGGCCCCCCTGTCCACGTTCCCCCGGGACCCGGTGTCCGGCCTGTTCACTCTGGACACCGTGACCCCCCCGGCTGGAGCGCTCACCCAGGTTGCTGCTGCCTGCTCCTGTCGGTCCCTCACTCACCCGACCCTCCTTTGGCACCACCGCCTAGGTCACCCTGCGCTCCCGCGTCTGCGTCACATGTCCCAGCACGGTCTTGTCCTTGGTCTCCCAGGTTCTCTCCCCGCGTTTCCCTCCTCCCCAGCCCCACCTTGCACGCCTGTCGTCGAGGGTCGGCTTCGCCGTGCCCCTCACTCCTCCTCGTTTCCCCCTACCGCCGCGCCGCTGCAGACCCTGCACCTGGACGTCTGGGGCCCCGCCCCCACCCCTGGGCCGCGTCGAGAGCGCTACTTCCTTGTGCTCGTCGACGACTTCACTCGTTACACCACAGTCTTTCCCCTGGAGCGCAAGGCCGACGTGCCTGGCGCTCTCATCCCCTGGCTTGTCTCTGCGCGTGTCCACCGCGGTCTCCCTGTCTTGCGTCTTCACTCAGACCGTGGTGGCGAGTTTGCCTCAGGTGTCCTTGGTCGCTTTTGTCGTGCGGAGGGCATCACCCAGACGTTTACCCTACCGGACTCCCCACAGCAGAATGGGGTCGCTGAGCGACGCATCGGTTTGGTCATGGAGGTGGCTCGCACCTCCATGATCCATGCCGGTGCACCCCATTTTCTGTGGCCGTTCGCTGTGCGCTACGCTTCTCACCAGCTTAACTTGTGGCCGCACCCTCAGCAGCCGCAGGTTTCGCCGACCCGTCTTTGGACTGGGTCTCCTGGTGACGCGTCTGCGTTCCACGTCTGGGGCTGCCTTGCTCACGTCCGTGCCTCCGGCACGGACAAGCTCACCGCCCGCACTCTTCCTTGCGTCTTCCTCGGTTTTCCCCTTGACGCGTCCGACTGGCACTTTTACCACCCGCCGTCTCACCGCTTCTTTCACTCTCGTGACGTCACCTTTGACGAGTCCGTCCCCTACTACCGTCGCTTCCCCCACCGTGGTCCCCCGGTTACCCCCCCCTGTTCCTGGCCACCCCTTCCCCGGTAGTCCCTGCCCCTCCTCCTCCTCCTCCCCGTCCCGCCCCCTCTGGTGTGTCCCACGTCACCCCGCTTCCGTCGGTGGACCCGGTTGAGGAGTCTTCTGACTCTGGTGGCTCTCCTGTGCAGTCCTCCCCGGCTGCCCCTCCCCCGGTGTCCCCTCCCCAGTCCCCTCCTCCACCGCCTCTCCCGCCTCTGCAGCCGTCGTTGTCGCTGCCGCCGCCGCCACTGCCGCCGCTGCCGCCGCCGTCGCAGCACCCGTTCGCTGACTCTGGGGGTGCTCGTCCCGGTAGCCCTGGGGGTGGTCCCTCTGGGGGTGCTGGTGTGGAGAGTGCCGGTGGTAGCCGAGGAGCAGCTTGCGGTCCCGGTGTCGCCGTTGTGCCGCCGCAGCAGCAGTCCCCGCCGGTGTCAGCCCTTCGCCTGCTCGGCCTTCCGTCCCCCGACCCTCCGTCGGTTCCTCCCCGGCCGTCTCCTCCTCTTCTTGTCTACGGCCCTGTCTTCCCTCCGCCGGACTCGTCCCTGGCCCGTCTCCTCCCTCGTTCCCCTCCTGTGTCCCCTCCTCTGTCTCCTGACCCGACTCCTCCGTCGCACGTCTGGTCTCACCGTCCCTCCCGTGCTCGTCCTGCCTCGCCTGTCTTGCGCTCTCACCCTATGTTGCTTCGTTCCCACGCGTCTCGTCCTCCCCTTCTGCCGTCGCCTCCTCCGTCCTCCCTTGTTGTTGCACCCCCCCCGCTGTCTGACTACCTTCGTGCCGCTCGTCCCCTTGTTCCTCGGGTCCTTGCCTCTCTCGTTACCGACCCGTCTGTTCCGACCTCGTGCCTTGACGCTCTTGTCGCTGCTGTCGCTGACTTCGCCTCTACCCGCCGCCTTGACTACGCCTCAGCTCTGGTCTCTGACCCTGCCTGTCCTCCGTCTGTCGGGGGTGCTCCTGCCCTTGGCAGTGACGTCCTGGAGGACCGCCAGTTCGAGCTTGCTTTCCTCTCCGAGGCTGCTCCCCATCTCTGTTCCATGCTGCTAGTCCCTGAGGGTGACCCAGACGCTTTCGACATCCCGACCCCTCGCACTTACGCTGAGGCGACTTCGGGACCCTTGGCCTCGCAGTGGATAGCTGCCATGGAGCAGGAGATGGCATCTTGGAGATCCACCGGCACCTTCGTCGACGCAGTTCCCCCACCTGGGGTGAACGTAGTCGATGGCCGCTGGCTCTTCAAGGTGAAGCGCCCTCCTGGAGAGCCGCCTGTCTTCAAGGCGCGCTATGTGGCTAGAGGATTCAGTCAGCGCGAGGGGGTGGACTTCTTCCAGACCTTCGCTCCGACCCCGAAGATGACTACTCTTCGGGTTCTGTTACACCTAGCTGCTCAGCGTGACTACGAGCTTCACTCCCTCGACTTCTCCACTGCCTTCCTTCAGGGCAGCCTACACGAGCAGGTCTACCTGCGGCGCCCTCAGGGCTTCATTGGCACCTTCCCTCTTGGGACCCAGTGGCTCCTGCGGCGCCCCGTCTACGGCCTGCGCCAGGCTCCCCGTGAGTGGCACGACACTCTCCGTGCTACGCTTGCTGACCTGCAGTTCTTTCCGTCTTCCGCAGACCCTTCACTCTTCGTTCGTGCTGGCCAGACTCCGTTCTACATCCTTGTTTACGTCGACGACCTGGTCTTTGCCACAGCTGATAGGGACACACTGGCCTCCGTGAAGGTAGAGCTGCTGAAGAGACACACGTGCACTGACCTTGGAGAACTGCGCCATTACCTTGGCTTGCAGATCTCCAGGGACAGAGCTGCGCGCACCATCACCCTGACTCAGTCACACTTGGTGCGCCAGGTCCTTCAGAGGTTCAGCCTTCAGTTCTCCTCTGCACAGCCCACCCCTCTGCCTGTAGACCACAGACTCTCCGCTCCAGTGTCTGAGGAGTTGGTAGAGCCCAGCGGCCCCTACGCAGAGCTGGTGGGTTGCCTCATGTACCTGATGACTTGCACTCGCCCAGATCTCGCATACCCTCTCAGCATCCTGGCTCGCTTTGTGGCCACAGGCAGACACCGACCGCAGCACTAGTCTGCCGCTAAGAGGGTTTTGCGTTATCTTGCTAGTACATCGGGCATGGGGTTAGTGCTAGGAGGACGCAGGCCAGTGGTCCTTACTGGACACACAGACGCTTCGTGGGCAGACGACGCTGAGACAGTCAGGTCTACCCAGGGCTACTGCTTCAGCCTTGGCTCAGGTGCCGTCTCGTGGAGAGCTACCCGCTCCTCGTCTGTTGCGCAGTCCAGCTGTGAGGCCGAGATCTACGCTGGTGCCATGGCGGCACAGGAGCTCCGCTGGCTGACCTTCTTGCTCACTGACTTAGGTGAGCGGCCTAGCTCTGCCCCGGTCCTGTTCGCTGACAACAGGGCCATGATCCTCCTGTGTCAGGAGCCTCGACTCGAGGGCAGAGCGAAGCATATTCAGCTGCGGTACTTCCTCCTGCGTGAGCTACAGCAGCGACGTCAGGCTCGCGTAGTACACTTGGCCTCAGGTGCCAACATGGCTGATATCTTTACGAAGGCGCTTGCGCCTAAAGATCATCAGCGGCACTGTGTACAGCTTGGTCTAGTTCCTGTAGCCTCTCACTTGCTAGGACCTTGACTTTGTACTGTCCTTTATACGTATACTCAGACTGGACTTGTGTCCTCTCGCAGTGGCTGGACTAGTAGTGCCGCCCTGCCCTTGTTCTTGCCTTGTTTGTACTCCTTCTGACTGGTCTCTCAGACCCTTGTCTCAGAGGTTGGACTAGTAGTGCCGCCCTGAGCTGTTTGTTTAGGGCATTCCCCTATGCAGTCTAGGGGGTGTGTCAAACATGTGTATTTGTCATGTTTGTATAGACTGTATAGGGTCGCCTCTTAGAGAGTACAACACTTAGGTATATCTTTGTGTACTCTCACTCTAACTATTATTCAATTTTCAAGTTTGATAACAGCCCCCCTATAGCGCTGGGGCATCAGTGTGCACTTGTACGAAAACACCGAAAAATCAGCTTAGGAACACAAAACTTTGCTGAAGAATCAGGCTAAGGGTAAAAAAAAGGCTGACCAATCAGCGTAGGTACCAGAAAAAGGCCTGAGAAAAGGCTGAATCAGCGTAAATAGGCTGCAATTTGAGGGCCTGATCTAGCAACACCAACAGGCTGCTGTCACAATGGGCTGCTCAAATATCACGTCTGGCTTGCTACCCACTTAGAAAAACACCATCAAACTACTGTCAAAAGCATTATCAAATGCACTGTACGGTAATTGCCTAAGTGTCACAACAACACGTGGTGTGGTGGAGGCAAGAAGCTCCAGCAGCACTGCTCAAAACGCGCCTGGCCTGTTGTTAGCAGAGTATCATACAGCACTTGCCTAGATGTCACTCCGAGTCACTCCTGGCTTGTTGTGGATGTGAGGAGGAGCCGCTTTGAGGCAACTCAACAGTAACACCGTGATTGCCTAGATGTCAGGAGGGCAAGTGCATGCGAGGAGACACGTACAGCTCCAGCAGCGCTGCCACGAGACACGCCTGGCTCGTCGTCTGCAAAGTACGGTACCACGGCACCTGCCTAGATGTCTGGAGGACACGTGCCTAACACACCGTACCATGGCACCTGTCTAGATGTCAGGAGGACACGTGCCTAGACACACCGTACCATGGCACCTGTCTAGATGTCAGGAGGACACGTGCCTAGACACACTGTACCATGGCACCTGTCTAGATGTCAGGAGGACACGTGCCTAGACACACTGTACCATGGCACCTGTCTAGATGTCAGGAGGACACGTGCCTAGACACACTGTACCATGGCACCTGTCTAGATGTCAGGACACGTGCCTAGACACACCGTACCACGGCACCGTCCTAGGTGTCTGGAGGGCAAGTGCATGCGAGGAGCTCCAGCAGCGCTGCCACGAAGCGCAGCTGAGCAGCCTCGGAGATGGTCTCGAACGTGGGCACATGCACAAACACGCTCTGCACTCTCGGTAGGTGTTGCTGCACGCTTTGCATGCTTTGCGCCACAGCAGGAGATTGAGGAGTGTGAGTGGTGGAGAGGGCAGGGAGTGAGTGAGAGGAGCTCTGGGGGTGAGTGTGTAGGTTGTGCTTAGTGTCTGATCCTACTCCTGCTGATGCTCCTGCTTGTACTGGTGCTGCTGTTGCAGCTGTTGCAGCAGCAGCAGCAGCAGCTGCTGCTGCTGCTGGTGCAAACTCCGCTGCTGCTTTGATGGTGGTGGGAGTAGTAGCAGCGGTGCTGGTGGTGCTGGGCGTGATGGTGGCAGTGGCAGCATGTCCCAGCGACTGGGAAGAGGAGGCAGAGGAGGGGGAAGAGGAGGAGAAGGAGGAGGAGGAGGAGGAGGAGGAGGAGGAGGAGGAGGAGGAGGAGGAGGAGGAGGAGGAGGAGGAGGAGGAGGAGGAGGAGGAGGAGGAGGGGAAGGGGGAGGAGGGGGAGGGGGAGGGGGAGGAGAGCATGGCGGCATGTCGCAGTGACTGGTAGTACACGTAGTTACACACGAAGCGGCCGGCGTCAAAGGAGGTGCACACAGTGAAGCCCC